TCTTTGCACCTAAAAATACAAAGTCTGTCATAGAATAGAATAGTTGAACTAAATAGGTCCTTTTGAAGTTTCTCTCTTGTATCTTTTACCGGTTGTACCCTAAACGTATAACATAGATATTCAAACCACCAAGTTGGAGTCCTTGGCTTCCTGGGTGGGATCAACTTGAATTAGAATGTGAGAGAAGCAAAAAAACAATACCTATATACTCAGACTTCGGTGTGTCCCAAGGCTTACGTTTCGCCCCCAGCTTCCAGAATACTACACCCAGCATGGTTCCCCCAGAGCTTCTAGGAGTTGTAGTCCAAAAGTAACTTTTCCAGACTCTTGGAAGATTGCATTGCTGTCCTTTGATTGGGAGAATTCAACTCAAGAAGCCCCTGGGAAATGATAGTCACATTTCCATGGCTATTGCTTCATCAAAATCTGGGGCTTGTGCAGAAAACAAGTCACCTTTGACTGAAGAGACAGCTCTCACACAGATGGAACTAGTAACACAGATGGAGCTGCCAGTCTACTGAAGCCTCAGTTTGCAATCATCCAGTGCTGAAAATACATTTGAGCTTTACTATGATGGCATCTTCAACATGAGCAGGGTGCTCTCTGAAGCCTGAACCTGGTTTCCCCCATATCTCACTCTTTGCCATTGTACTGTTTGGCTTTGACCCCCTCCACCACACTTCGGTCAGAACACCCGTATGGCTGAAAAAACAGCTTAGGAAAGGAAGAAAGAAGGAAAGAAAGAGAGAGAAAGAGAGAGAGAGAGAGAGAGAGCTTCATGCCTTTTTAAAAATAATGTTTTTGACTTTCATCTAATACACATATTTGTTTATAATATCCTTATTAAACAACAACAAATATTTTTAGTGATCTAAAACAACATGTAAGGAAGAATTACATGAACCCAAGCAACATAATAAAAGAATAAAGAAATCAAGCTACAACTATAAACAGCCATACTACATTACAAAAAAACTAAAGCACAAACAAATAAAATGCAAAAATAAAATAGGGAAAGGATAAACACATTACTTCTAACTACCCAGGTAATGGTTATACTCAATAACAGATTGTACTTTCTCTAGTTTTATGACATAAACATACTTCTACATATTTGTTAAAATCCATTATTCTTCAAATCCTAATGATGACAATCTCCCTCGCTTATCACCTCATCCCATGGAGAGTTGGAAATGTCCTAGCACACTGCCAGGATGCTTCCTCAATGGAGCCCAACAGATGCCATCACATGACGTAAGGATACTTCCAAAGGGGCTCTGTAGAGGAAACATCCTGGCAACATGCTTCCCTGAGAACATGGAAAGACACTTCCCTGAGAACATGGGAGGCTTCCCATGTTCTCATTGAGAAGAACCGAGGAATCCATGTGGCAATGCTTCCCCCGTGGGATAAAGTAAGGGGTGCAGCAGGCAATGTGGGGCACGGGACAACAGTTTACCCCCGCTGCCTGCTGTATTCGCCACACTCCCACCCAACTTATTAACCATAGTGTGATGAGGTCTCTAATGTGCTTTTTGGCTTACTTTTTACCTGGAGAACCCTACTGCAAACAAAGATGAATTTCAAAAGATCAGGTAAGTTTACATTAAACCGCAGAATGAATTACTGTCTTTCCATCCTTAGTAATTGCCTACAGACTGGTGGGCCTAAATGGTTAACTGGGAACACTGGGATTATTGTCATCTGACATACCACCTGTCACACCCAGCACTTTTTAATCTGTACCCATTACATTTGGCCCGGCCCTAGTTTTATTGTGTTATGGTGTAATGTTTCTGTTGTTTCTGTTATTGCTTTAATTGTTTTTGATTTGCTTTAAGTTGTGTATTGTTATGCTATTGTTTTATTGAGGCCTTGGCCTTTGTAAGCTGCATTGAGTCCTTCGGGAGATGTTAGCGGGGTACTAATAAAGTTAATAATAATAATAATAATAATAATAATAATAATAATAATAATCTTATTATTTATTTATTTCCTATATTTCTACCCCACCCTTCTCACCCCCGAGGGGGGACTCAGGGCGACCTCACAAACGCATCATAGGATGCCGAACATAATAAAAACAATCAACAAGCAGCAATACATTAAAATATTAAGTTTACATGCATGTGATTGAACATATGTAGAATCTTACAAGAAATTCTAAGACCCCGTCTACACTGTCTTTATATCCCAGGATCTGAACCCAGATTATTTGCTTCTCCCAGATTATATTACAGTGGAGACTCATATAATTCAGTTCAAAGCAGATAACCTGGGATCAGGCCCATAGCCCGGGGTGCTGAGTTTGATTCGGGGGGGGGGGGGGGGGGTGTGCGTGTGTGTGACTTTGATTCAAAGGGGGGGGGCTGAGGATCTACCCTAGCAAACCTTTTGTATCGTTACCCCAATACCCCCATGCATATGGGATATATTGAGCATGGTGATCAGATCATGATATGAATAAACATAACAGTTTAAATAATGTAACAGTAAGGCCTTCTCGCAGGCCACCCTGAGAATTGGGGGGGGGGGAGCTCAAGCCCCTCAAGCCCCCACCCCCCACCCGGCTACATGCCTGCCTGGGATCAAATCCTGGGATATTAGGACAGTGTAGAAGGGGCCTAAGTCTCATCATGAAGAAGGAATATTATGGAAGCAGGTAGAGGTAAAGATGGGAAGCCTGTGCAGATGGCAGAATTCAAAATCTTAGGAAATAAATGTATAGAGGAACTAACTGATTGTCTCTGTGGAGCTTGGAAACTTACTGTTTTGAACAACAACTCCCAGAATCCCCTAATCAGTTTGGAAACTGCAACTTTTCCTAGTTTAGTCTTGTGCTTATAGTCCCTCCCCCAGCAAGATATCTGGCCCATCATTTAGTTCAACATTCCCAACACATTTTTGACATATTTAAATTTCATTTCACAACAGTCACTGGAGGATGTAGAGTTGTTTGATGTATACACCCAGGTATACTTTCATTGGACTATCATTGCATAATCAGAAAGAAAAGAAAGCTGGTTATGATAAAGAGGAAATTACTGTGTTTCTCTTGGCAACATCTGGCCTGGAAAGTATTCTCCCTACCTGCCCAAAATATCCTCTTTGAGAACAAGGGATAGCTGCCTCTCTGAATCATGTCTCCTCCCTTTTCCTGTATTTCTGGATCAGGTATTTCCCTTTGAAGTAGCCACCTTTTCCTCATCACTACTGTGCAACTCCCAGAACATCTGACAGGAAGAACAAGAGAGCAGAGCAACAAGTGATAAAGTTGTTCTTATCGGAGTTTTAAACATCAGTTGACATCTTACAAGTGTCTACCATCCGAGAAGGAGTCTTCCCTGAATTCAGATCACAATATCTCCAAACCAGGTATGTACAAGTAGGGCAATGATGCAGCCACACTGGACAAGGACTCCAGAGTCCAAGAGTGCCTCTACAATAGAATTACTGCAGTTTGACACCACTTGAACTGCAGACCAATGCTATGGAGTTCTGGGATTTATAGTCTGGCAGAGAAGGCTAATGACTTTGTATAACTACAACTCCCATGATTTCATAGCATTGAGCCATGCTGATTAAAATTGTGTAAAACTGCAGTAATTCCACAGTATTAATGCATCCCATATAATATAATACTATATAATAGAATATAATACAATATAATACTGGTAATAATAATTCAATATTATAATTATAATTCTATATTCACGTTACATGTAATGTTACTAATAATATTACAATATAATGGTATAGTGCAATATAGTAATATATAATATTGATATTGTACTATGCTAATAATATAATATATTGTATGAAAATATATATTGTAAGCCGCTCTGAGTCCCCTTTGGGGTGAGAAGGGCGGCATATAAATGCCGTAAATAAATAAATAAATCCCTAGATGCCATTCCCCACTCAACCACGGAACTCCATTGGGTGGCCTGGAACTTTCCCAGGTTTAGCAGAAGGCAATGGCAACCCTCTTCTGAACAAATCTTGTCATGATAGGTTTTCCCTAGGYCATCCCTAGGAAATGACTTTAAAGGTATGTGTGTATGTSTGTGTKTYTYTYTYTKTATATATATATATATATATATATATATATATATATARATATATATATGAATGAAATGAAATGACTTTAAGGTATATCWATATCAATAAAAATGGAATGTTAGTTTGTGGGATTAACATAACTCAAAAACCATGGGATGAACTGACATTAAAGTTGGACACAACACACCTATAGGCCAACGAYTGACTATCACTCATAAAACACTGAAAAACACAGTGAAAGAGACTTAAGCCAAAAAAAAAAAACCCAAAAAATACATTACAATTCAGGAAAAAAAGAAGTAGAGAAGGAAGAAAGGAGAGAAAGGAGAAAMAAAAGAAAAGGGGGGAGGAAGGAAAGAAGGAAAGAAGGAAAGAGAAGGAAGGATGGAAAGAAAGACAGAGAAGAAAGAAAGGAGGGAAAGTGGGAGGGAACAAAAAAMGAAGGGAAGGAAGGATAGAGGAAGGGAAGGAAGAAAGGAYGGAAAGCGGGGGTAACAAAAAAGGCAGGGGAAGGAAGGATAGAGGGAAGGAACGAAGGAAGGAAGGAAGGAAGGAGAGAAGGAAAGAAAAAAGGGAAGGAAAGAAAGAAAGAGGGAGGGAAGAAAGGAAGGAAGGAAAGTGGGGYGAGACAAAAAAGGCAGAGGAAGGAAGGATAGAGATAGGGAAGGAAGGAAGGAAGGAAGGAAGGAAGGAAGGAAGGAAGGAAGGAAGGAAGGAAGGAGAGAAAGAAAGATGGAGAGAAAAAGGGAGGGAAGGTTGGCCACAGCAACGTGTGATGAGTACAGCTAGTATACACACACACAACCACCTTTGTGAAATCACATTTTCACTATATAATTATTCAGTAGTTCACTGTTTTCACTTTTCTCTTTTGAGGAACAGGGAGAACATTCTTTTAGATTACCACTACGGCTGTTTCTTCTTTTAAGCTATAATGGCTTTGGTGCAATGAACACAAGAAACTTGTGCAAATAGCATAAGATGAGCACAGATGTTGTACTATACTGGTGTAGATGAAGTAATGCAATATCTAGAGTTTGTGGGATGTAAGGAATCCAAGTTCAGTGGCAAGACATTATATAGGGGACATCTTTGTTTCTGTTAGGTGGTTATGTGTGCAACAGAAAAACTTTCTTTTCTGCATCTGCAAATTCACATCCAGCTGAGCTATTAAAGATAGTCAGAAGTCTAACTCTGGTACTCTCCCCAGTGAATGCATCTTAAAATGTTCGTAACTTGCTGTGTCATGCCTTTAATGACCATTTTGCAGATAAAATCCCTCACATAAGAGCAGATTTAGATGTCATCATTGGAACAGAAGTTTATAATGGAGTGTCCAGAGAATCTGTGAGTGGAATTACACTGGATCAGTTTCAATTGAAGAATACTGCTGATGTGGATAGGCCGCTGGGGCAAATAAAGAGGACAACTTGTTTCCTTCTCCTTTTGGTTGGTCATCCAGGAAGGAGATGCAATTAGATTTTAAGAACTGCACATTATTAATGCTTCTATCAAGGAAAGAGACCTATCATCATTTTTAAAGGAAGTAGCTGTTAGACAACTTTTGAAAAAGTTCTCCTGAATGCCCTGGATCAAACAGGTTCCTTTCCCCATCACACACTAGTTGCTGTCCTCTTTTCCAGCAGAGCCCATTACACACACACTTCAGTCCAGGCTCCATTGGGGTAAAGGGAGAGGAAGGAGTGCATCCTTCCACAACACAGGAGCCTTCCTGTGTTGCCTTCAGGACAATATAGGGAAGCTGGGTGGTGACATTCTGGGGTCACCGGTAAGTTGTGGGGTATGGAGCATCAGATTCTTCATGTTCCTGCCAGGACCTAATGGATTTGTCATGATGGATGGTAAATCCATGCACCTTTGTGATGAGGTCCCTAATATTTGGGTTTTGGGCAAGGTTTTGGGCAATTGTGAAGACAATCACCTTCCTAACTCCAAGTAGTCTTGGATGGCACACACTCTCATGACCCATTTCAAACAGGCTTCAGAACAGGACATGGGGTTGAAACTGTTATGGTGGCCTTAATCAATTTGTGTCTCAACACTGACACAGGGTGTATGTTCCTGCTAGAGCTTCTAGATCGCTTAGCAGCTTTCAATGCCATCAACCATGGTTTTCTTCTGGAGCACCTGAGGGGTTTGGGAATCGTAGTCACTATGTTGAACTGGTTTCGGTCTTACTGCTCAGGGAGGTTCCAGATGGTGGTACTCGGGGATAGCTGCTCCTCAAAAAAGGAACTGTTGTGGGACATACCACAAGATGCCATTATATCACCAATGTTGTTTTTAACATCTGCATGAAACCGCTGGAAGACATTCTCAGGAGGCATGGGGCGGGTTCTATCAATACACTGGTGACACCCATGTATTTCTCCATTCATTCATAGCTAGTATTTGCTAAGAATAGTGTGCCTCCTTTGAATGAATACTTGGAGGAGGTAGTGGGCGGGATGAAGAAAAACAAATCAAAACTGAATCCAGACAAGATAGAGATGCTTGCCATTAAGTAAGGGTCCTAATCTTGGTTTGGGAATGTGTCAAATAGTTTTTGATGGATTTATATTCCTCTGAAAGATTATTTTTGCAGCTTGGCAGTGTTCCTGGATCTGTCTCTCCAAATATCAGCTCAGATGACTGGCCATGACTGTTTTTTTAATCATATTTGGCTGATATGCCAACTGATCCCCTTCCTTGAATTGGCTAAAATCAGTTTTTCTACACATTTAGGCAATGGCAACCCGCCGTGCCATTCACACGACACAAGCTTCAACTGTTGTGGTGAGGTATTGTGCCATTTCTCAAACATTAGTTTTTCCAATGATTCCTGAGTCAATTGGCAAGTGATTTATTTTTAAATTCCCCAGATAGAGACAAGTGAAATGGCAAATTTCTCACTTTTGTTGCCTACTTATAAATAAAACAATGACATCGTGTGTGGGAGGAGCTGAAATGCCCATTTCCCCAGATCGCCAGTGCAGAGGCTTTTGGGGAAAAGTTTTATTTATTTATTTATTTATTTATTTACACCATTTCTACCCCGCCCTTCTCATCCTTGAGGGGGGACTCAGGGCGGCTAACATGGGCAACAATTCAATGCTATAGTATCAATACAACAATGTAAAATCAAATACATAGCAAATTAAAACAATAACATTAATTAAAATCACATACTCATATACTAACATAGTCGCCTAATCAAAGTCACATAGCCATTTCCAATTGTCATAACAATCCTATGGTCCGGGTTCAGTATCTAAAGTGCTGCTGTGCCCACTAGCTGAAGGCCTGGCTCCAAAACCACAACTTTAGTTTTTTCCTAAAAGTAAGGAGGGAGGATCTGATCTTGCTGGGGAGTGAATTGCACAAGCGGGCGGCCACTACTGAGAAGGCCCTGTCCCTCATCCTCACCAGACGTGTTTGTGATGCTGGTGGGACTGAGAGCAGGGCCTCCCCAGTAGATCTTAAATTACGAGGTGGAATGTAGAGAGAGATGCGTTCGGATAAGTAAGCTGGGCCGGAGCCGTATAGGGTTTTATAGGCCAAGACCAGCACTTTGAATTGTACTCAGAGGTGTACCGGCAGCCAGTGGAACTGACATAACAGGGGAGTGGTGTACTCCCTGTATGGTGCTCCGGTCAGTAATCTGGCTGCTGCCTGTTGGACTAGTTGAAATCTCTGAACAGTCTTCAAAGGCAACTCCACATAGAGTGCGTTGCAGTAATCTATTCAGGATGTAACCAGAGCGTGGACCACCGTCGGACTTCCCAAGGTTAATTTAAAACTACTTTTACGATCTTGGGTTGTTTTTGTTTTTTTTAAAGAAAGATAAATAATCAAAATCCTGGAGGGACAATGGGCGGAAATCTCAGTGCAAACTACCCCAGGGAAAGTGCTGCCTTAAGAAAGGGGCTTCTGTTTCAGTCTAGGGACTTGAGTGCAAACGATCCCAGTGACACCTTAAGAAAGGTGCTTCTGTTTCAGTGGAAGGAGTTTGAAGGCAGTGCTGCCTTTAAGGATGCCTGTTTTAAAAAGTATGCTGGTATCCTTGAAATGGAAGTAGTCATTTGTCCATGTGATGGGAATTAAATGGATGGTTGAGTTAGAAGCTGGCGGAGGTGATCTTAGTGTGATGGGAGTGGGTGAATTCTTCATCCTCTTTAAAGACAGAATCCATGAAACTCCACCCTTTCCCCTGCTTTCCCTCATTTTCTCCAGCTCAGTGTGATGAAGTCCCTAATGATAGTACTATACGTGATGGTAAACTCGAGTTCTGATTTTGCAGTGAGCTGTACATT